CAACCATAAAATTGGTGTCTCGGTTTCTAAGACCATTGAAAATATGTGTTTTCCAATGGTCTTAGGCAACCCCTGTGAAAGGGCCGTTCGACCCCCAAAGGGGTCCCGACCCACAGGTTGAGAACCACTGTCCTAGAGGAAGGCAATAGCTGACTGCATCCATAGACAGTTAAAAATATTAGGCTATTCTCCAGATTCTAGCTTTACTTTCTAAAATTGAAATCAATATAATAATCCTCAAATAACAAGATTTTTTGTAAAGAGCTGGCACTCTTTTGGAGGAGCACCTACACAAACATGCACATAGTCACCTGCTGCCTTTCTTTACAGATGATGTGCTTTCATAGCAAAACAGGTTGCAGTTTCAGCTTACAAATGCTATATTGCTGTATAGAGGCGTATCATCTGTTGCCTTTATTTGGAAACTAGTACACACGGGTAGATTTAAGCAGGTAAAACAAGGCATCAACTTATGCCTCTCAGCTATGCTGCTTCTATCATGCAGCCCAAAAGCAACACATCCGTTCTCTTTTTCCCAGACTGAAACACTCCTTGCCCAAGTGGCAAGAAAAAGAAACACCACACCAGCATTCGCTGAAAGGCATTAACTATTGTTTATTTTTATTTTTTATCCTGGCTTTATTATTTTTATAAGCAACCGGGGGCAGCAAGCATATATAATACTCCTTCCTCTTCTTATTTTTCCCCTCACAAGAATCCTGTGAAGTGAGCTGGGCTGAGAAAAAACGATTGGCTCACAGACACCCAGCCATCTTTACAATTATAGCATAACAGAGTTGGAAGGGACTTTGGAGATCTTCTAGTCCAACCCCCTGCCTAGGCAGGAAGCCCTATACCATTTCAGACAAACAGTTATCCAGTATCTTCTTTAAAACTTCCAGTGTTGGGAGTATTGACAACTCCTGGAGGCAAGTTGTTCCACTGATTGTTCTAACAGGCAGGAAATTTCTCCTTAGTTCTAGGTTGCTTCTCTCCTTGATTAATTTCCATCCATCCTTCTTGCCCTGCCCTCAGATGCTTTGGAGAATAGTTTGGCTCCCTGTTCTTTCTTCTTTTCTTTCATGCCTAAAGCAGGATTAGAACTCGCTGTCCCCTAGTTTATAGCCTGATGCCTTAACCTCTATCAGACCAAACATCCCTCAGCGTGATGGGCACATGCAACTCTGTAGCAGATGGCGCCGTCAGAGGCTGAATCGTAGCCTCTGGAGTGCCCTAGTCATGGTAACAGACCACGCTGACAACGAAACATTTCCCTAGTTTCTGGGGACACCACCGAGTACACATTTGCAAACACGCACTCTTGCACCCCCACAGGACACGCTGGCAGATGACGCGCGCCCACGAGACCCGGCCCCTCCGAGCTCCACGCGCGTGTCAAAAAGCGCCTGCGGAAAGGCTTTCCTCCTCTTTCGCTGACTTTGAAACTGCGGGGAAAGTTGAGTGACTTTGGCGCGCTTTTCCCTCCCCACCTCCCGCAGCTTCTGCTCGTGGAGCCGTCGGGCGCGCGCGGCAGGAGCTCTTACCTTTTGCTTCAGGCCAGACAAAAAGTCTGCCTGAGCGCACTGGGGACACGAGGCGCTCGGGGGAGGGGGCGGAGACTCAGATAGGCGGAGTTTAGGCGGGGAGGGCAGGGAATTTCTCCCCCCTCCCCTCGGCCCTACATCTGACGCAAGAAGGACGAGGCGCTTTCGCCCTCTTTGGGGAGAAACCTTGCCCGGGTCAGCGCGCGCGCGCCCTGCATCCGTTAAATGGGTGCGCTCTGCCTCACGCTGCCCCAGGCAAAGTCTGGCTGTCCTTTCGGGAACTTCACTGAAGGCAAAGGCAAAGCACCAGCAGGGACCGCCAGAAATTAAGGCGAAGAGTCTCTCTATGGAGAATTTCAATCATCCAGGTCATGGTGGTCCTATAGGTTCTTCTTTCCAAAAGGCAACTGGACTTTCTGGGGTGGGGGTTGTTTGTTTGTCAGCGTTTCACTTCTTATCCAAGAAGCTTCTTCAGTTCAGAACTTCTTGGATGAGCAGCGAGACTTTTTCAAAGAAGAAAAGCAGAAAAGTCCAATTGCCTTTTGGGAGGAAAAACACCTTTGAGATTATGGCTTGGATGATTGGAAATCTCTTGGCTTTAATTTCTGGGAGTTTCCTGCTGGTGCTTTGCCTTCGGCTTCAGTGAAGTCTTGCTACCTGCTGTAGTATTATACCAATGTTTCAATTTGAAACACTGATGCAAGTTGAGGATTTGTGGACTTCCAACTCCCAGAATTCCCCAGCCAGATTGCTGGCTTGGGAATTCTGGCTGTTGGAATTTAAACACTACACCAATTTGACACCTTGCCTCCAGATTAAGAAATGCTGTAAGAACAAGTTCCCTTTGAGAATGAGAAATGCTTTCACAAGGCCCAAACTTAGTGATAGTCCTCATTTCCTGCTTGGTTCCTTGGATGGAGAACTATCACAAGAGAAGAAAAATAGTAAAACCGGGAGCAAGGCCAATAAGGACAAAAACATCCAAATTTTGGAATAAAATGTAGACGACAAACATTTAGCTGGTTCTATATCACACTTTGAATCAAGGATTAAATATCTTCTAAGTCTGTGATGGCAAACCTATGGCATAGATGCGACAGGTGGCCAGCAGAGCCCTCCCTGCGGGCACGCCAGCTGTCGCCCCAGCCAGCTCCACCTTACATGTGCGTGCATCTCCCACCAGCCACCTGGTCTTCAGGTCTCTGCCATGCATGGGTGGGGACAGGGCGCATGCATTTGGGGGGGCTTGCATTGCATTTTGGGAGCTCACGTAGGGCCCCCACATGCCCATTTCGGCTTCCAGGTTGGTGCAGGAGGCCTTCTAGGCCCAAAATGGGGCACAGAGGGCGGCACACACCTTATGGGTGTGGGCACGTGTGTGCTGTCGCGCCCGTGCGCATGTGCTTTTGGCACGCAACGGGAAAAAGGTTAGCCATCACTGTTCTAAGTACTCTGCAGTGGTTGCTAAGAGTTCACAACGTCTTAATTGTAGGATAGTTATTGTTTTTTTTTTTTTTTTTGAGAGAAACAAAAGATAACCATGTTACCTTCTTTACATTAAGCAGGGAGTTATGGCCAATTCTGGTTTTCTTTTTTAAGGTGTATGAACTTCAACTTCCAGCTTTTAAAAAAAAATGATTTGGAGCCATTTTTGGACTTCTGGTGACTGCCTGAACTGCCTGCAGTTTTCTTAGCAAGGTTTTTCAGAAATGGCTTTTTCCTTGCCTCCTTCCTAGGGCTGAGAGCAACTGGCCAGCTGGCTTTATTCCTAAAATGAGATTAAAATTCATGGTCTCCAAGCCTCAGACTTAACCATTACACCAAACTGATTCTTGAATACACTAAATAACTATTTTTTATCTGTTTGTAAAATTGGGACAACAAACTGAAAAAATAAAGGAGAAGCTTCCACAGTCCAAAACCTGAAGTCAATGTGGTTGTATCATATTTCGGCTCAAGTTCTAAGGATAATTTTTGAAGTTCACAATAAAATAAACTTTTAAGTGAAAAATTTGCACTACTGAATGATGTTGAATGATCTGAATACACAACAATAGTTATCTGTTGTGGCC